CCGGGCCTAATATTCAAATTTCTTGATGAAATAGTGCCCCGATGTGCCTTAGGCAGAGCACGGTGGATACAATAGCTCTTAAAGGGCGCAGTATACTATACCCCGAAACTATATCTACATCTACATTATACGTAAGTATACAACTTGTAAACATATCTTTTTCTTTGTGTGCCGCCAAATTTTGAAATCGTTAAAAGCGTGCCGCGACAAAAAAAAAAGGTTGAGAATCACTGCCATACAGCATATAACGGCTGAATAATATTTAATAGACTATTACTCAACTGATAAAATTTGAGATGAAAACGTTCATTGAAATGTTTTTGACCCCATGGAAAAGGTAACAATCAGGAATAAGCAGTGGCCAGCTCGCGTGCCGACCTTTTCATGAATTAGACGACTTTACAAATTACATGTTCTTGACTTTAATCGTATTAACGTTTTGTTATATTATACACCCTATTAGGCGAGTTTCGTTTATTTTTTGTATCGGTCAAAAAATTTGCCCGGCCGCGTTTGAATGAATTATTCGCATTTTGGCAATAGCAATTTAAAGCAATACAGTAATATTTTTGTTGTTTGATAGTAAAAAATTGTGATCAACAGATAATTGTACTTTTTTAGAAAGTTACAACACGCTTTTGGAAGAAATTAGGGCTAGAAGTAAATATTTTCTTTGGAGAAAAGGTTTGACCAAATTTATGAACTATATACGTATTACATAAAAAATTTGAACCTCCAGAACGGAATGGATGAAGAGATTGAAACATTTTTTCCTGTAAAACGCTTCTTAAATCTCTAAGCCCCAATTTTAAGTGATGTTTTATTACCCTTTACCCGCTTGACGATGATTTATCGACCGAGACAAGTACAGCACTCGGTATAGGTATCTCGAAAGAAAATGAGAAGACTTACAAGGACGGGGCGAGAACTTAATCAAAAAGCTGAGAGTTGAACAAAAGTGATTTTGTGCGTGAGTGAGGCCGGCAAATTGAGTATTCTGGGCATGTTAGCGTAATCTCGAATATCTCCGTTCAAAAGCAATTGAGTGGAATACATTTGAACGTGATGTTATGTTTGAACATAACAATACTAGTGTGCAATTTACCATTTGCGTTATGTTCAAATTAATGATAACTAGTTCTTATTACCATTTTGTCTCTATAAGACACATCGTCAAGCAAAAAGTTTTTTTGTACAAGCTTAATCGATCTTGCTATCTCTTTTAGAAAGTATACATGTATATATAGCAATACTTTTGAATTTCTTATATAAGTATTTATCAGTTCCTTCCTTTTTCCATATTGCACAGGGTTATTGATGAATGTCCTATCCAAGCTGAAAGTCGTGAAAAAAAGCGAATGTCATGTTTTTTGTACAGCTTATTCCCTCTTATAAAAATAAAGAATATAAAAAAAAATTCTCCCAAATTTCTCTAGACGTTTTTCCTTCGCGATGCATCTACGTTTTTCCTTTGAATAAGTTGGCTGGAAAATTCTTGCAAAGCCGCTGGGTAGAAAGTGAAACGAAATGAACAATGAAACTAAGCATGGTGTAAAGTCATTGATATTGCAATTAATAAGAAATTCGTTTTACCAAACTCATTTTTCATTTTTTTTTTTCAAAAACATACATTTGAAGAATTTATGTTTCTTTACACTAGATTCGCTGGGTTAGATAGGAAAGCTGATATACGGATTTTTGTAAAGTTAGTGAACTCATAGACGATTCCGTATAAAAATTTACTAATAATAAATTTATGAATAAAAAAAATATGAAAGGGGCGTCGGCGGCCGTACCGGTTTAGGCGCTGGCACGGCGCTCATCACTGTAAGGTAAAAGTCCCGGGTTCGAATCCATCGGCCCTGCAATCGAACCCGACATACTTACAAATGGGCCTTTTTTTCAAAAACACCCAAAGGTTAACATAACCTCTGCTTTGCAAACCCTCGTTAAAAAAATTAAAAAAATAAAAATAGCACAGAATACTATTAAATTAGTACATGAGGTGGTCGACATTGTAATAAATTCGTATTCTCTTATTGACAAGTAAGTCCTGGGTTCAATTACTGGCTTTGTCCATGAAATTTTCTTTAACAATTGTCCATACGCAGGGCGTCATTTTTAGAGGGCCGGCTGAAGTGATAGTTCTCAGTGATAGCCGAAGGTCGTGGGTTCGAATCCCGCTCGTGAAACTAACTTTTTCATTTCAACAAAATCTTACATAAAGAGAGTAATGAATGGAATGAAGTGATGACGTTATCAAGACACTTAAATGTATGTATGCCAAGATTGTTATAAATTTGTATTCTCTTATTGACAAGTAGGTCCTGGGCTCAATTCCTGTCTTTGTCCATAAAATTTTCTTTAAAAATTTTCCATACACAGGGTGTTATTTTTAGTGGCCCGGCTGAATTTTCCTTTATGTGACAACGTTATCAAGAAACCAAAAAGTATGTATTTAATATTTTAAATCTAGTTTTAAATTTTACCTGTTTTTTTTTCAAATATTTGTGGGCAGGTTACTTAAGAGACAGTAGAACTACGAAATTTTAAATAAGAATGTGTACTTTTTTATCCTGTATTTTAAAGGTTTTTAGACTGAAAACGATATCCCAATTAGGTTTTAACTTGGTCAAGGAATAACGAAATTATGGCACAGAAGGTGAACCATTTGGTGATGGCATGGATACTTGATTCGGAGATTTTCCTGTTCCCACTTTCGAAAATTCCACCAATTGAGAATACACACAGGTGAGGGGAGAACTTGGTTCCATCAGCCCACAGATGTATGGGGGAACATTTTCTTTTGTAAACAAAATTGACACCTCAGAAAGGAACTTTAACCATCTATGAAAATCAGTGTCCCGAAAGGGATCAGAGCGAAATGGTTAAAATTGTATGCTCTGAGGACATCTCCATTCTTGTTCTTTTAAAACCAAGACCTTCCAGTTTTCGAAGGGAGGAGTGTGGAATTTTGAGAACATACAAAAAATGTTTGGTTCTTCATCAAAATGATTGGCCCCCTACACATCCCCAACTCTTCATATTGTGGGCAGCATGAATAAGGGATTTGTCGTATACCCAGGGATGATTGTGACATTTCTGGAAGTACAACGCGACTGCACTACATATCAATCCGATCTGGACAAAAACAGCACACTCTTCGACTCATTACGACTGACTGATAAAAACTTATTGAAGAATATTTTATTTTAATTTTATTAAGAATATTAGCTTTTTATTTTAGCTAAATTCTGTGTAAAGAATATCAAAACAACCATTGACAAAGCAAAAACAAAATGAAGAATCATATTATAAAAATATCCGAACATTCGAAGACCACTTTTTTGACATTTTTGTTGGTTGTATTGATATTTGAAACATCACGAACAACAAACTGGAACATAGAGGTGTTCCGAAGACCCACCAACATCATCCCAAGAAATTCATAAAACCGCGCGAAAACAGCTAATGGAACTACTTAGTAAAAACGAAATTTAGATGTATCTCTTCATATTCAGCCATAAATTTGTTATTCTTTAATCAATTAAAAATCTCATCAGTGCAAGATATCATTTAAAACAATGGGTAAAACAGTATACGTTCTCATTTAAAAGTCAGTACTGGCTCTAAAGCATCCTGACAATAAATATTTTAAAATTCCAGTAAAAATTTAAAACTATGCTACAAAAATATTCAATACGTATTTTTTGTTTTTTCGATAACTGAATATGTTCAAGAAAAATTCAGCCGGGCCGTCAAAAAAAGGACCGATAATATAAAATTAACACCGACCGAGTGGTCAGGGCTTCTGTATTTACCAAACAGCGGTTCTGGGTTCGAATCCCGGCTTAGCATTTGTTATTATATTTGAGATTAATTTGGAAAAAGTATTTTGAAGTGATTCCGATCCCTTGTCAGCAAGCGACAAACAATTGGATGTCAATCCCCATCCTGTACGAATGGAATTACTTTACTTACAAAAAGAAAAAGGAAAAAACCTGTTCCCCTGTTCGAATATTTGGATGTAAAAAATGAAAATTATATGAAAAATGGTAGTATAAAGATTTGGTGATGAACAATCATGGTATGTTTGCTGGGTGTGGATATTCTTGGGTGGCTTTTGCTGCATGGATCAGAATGTGAACACAGGAGCAGAAATTTAATGAAATATTTTTCTATCTTGGTTGTTTTTTTTGTCGTATTTTGTATTTCTAGAGCTATTTTAAGAGTTCTTTTAAGTCAAAGGCCAGGGGGCTAGATATGCATAGCGAACAAAATACAAGGTATTTAAAAACATTTATGTTTAGTTCAACAAAAACCACCACTTAGACAGAAAAAGGTTTACTTCCAAACTAAGAAATCAAAAAAAGAATTAGAATTAAGGAAAAAGATTTTGAACATTTCCATCACTGCGCATTACACGTTTTATCTCCGGTGAGAAATTTGTCATTGATAATTTTGACATTCTTTGAGAATTATTCAATTAATTTTCCTGTTTGATTAAATTAACTCTTTATTCGGCCAGATATGATGATTTTCATGTTAATGGTTTTGGCGAGTATTCAATCATCTCTAACAGACGTTTATCCTGTTTGACGAATTTATTTCAAACCTTTAAAAAGATCACGTTGCATAAAACCCCATATCGAAAAACCATTATTTGATGATCTTGACATCGATGGTTAAAGTACTGTATAAATTACCATAAAAATTGTAAAAATGAAGCCAGTTTTATTCAGAAGTCTCAATCTTATAAACGGTAAAAACTAGATATTTTGTAAATCCAAAGAAAATTAGGCTACATTGGAAGATCATTAAAGATTTATTAAGTATATTTTTACACGCAGTAAGTTCATTGTTGGTTTTCGTTGATTTTATTTTAGGCCGACAGCAAAACTAGGCGGACTACATCTTGAATCAAACAAAAATTAAACCTCATAAAACGTTAATATGGTCTAGAACGGCACAATTCCATAGGAAATAATTGAAGAACACACCTCAGTAAATTCCAAAGCAGGTGGCACATCGCCAGATCTCCTTAACCATGTTAAAGCCATAAAATGTGCGAACCAAGATTTCCTCTGCGTTCCCCTCATACTGAAAACAAATAAAATCGACATTTTTTTATTATTATGATATATAACTTATTATATATTTTATAACTGAAGTATCTTATGAATACATTTTTCCTAAATCACTGTAGCCAAGTGTTAAAAATGGAGAGAGGGTGTTCCACGGCCTGAATTTTATTTTTGTCTCGTTAGGAGCTTTTAATGGTCACGCGTAAACTGCTCTCCCTGTTCATCCGTGGGGATAATAAATGATATTGTGACGAACAAAAGAGCTTTCGTGACAGCACAATATCGTAATCAATTCCATGTCATATCCATTATATGAATTTGAGTTTCTGAGTGAAGCCTTTTTAACGCAATGTTCGTCCTTTATGGTTTTATGTTGGTTCATATTAGTAATTCAAACATCATTGAAATGCTTTTATGTTTTATTTGGACTTATTTTAAAATAGCATTGTATTTTATTGTAAAGTCTGGCGAAATATGTTCACCCTTGTTGAGGAAATCATTTAAATCTGACTTCCTAAGTAAATACCGGCCGGAGATGTGTTCCCAGTTTCCACCTCCAGTTCCAATTATGTTAAACGGTTTCGTTTGGTTTGAATGTTACGGTGAAGAAATACAATTTATATACTCCATCTTGTGTTTTGTCTCAAACACAATCAATGGGAGAATTAAATTTAGGCCGTAATGAAGTCCCGGCTTGTGCCATAGGATGAGAAAATCGATTTCAACATCAGGGTAAGAAAGAATTAATTTTGGCCGTAGATGTATATTTGATTTTATGTAAATGAAAGGTCTTTGAATTTTAATGTAAGTGCTAGAGGATTGACACAAATGCCCATGTGAAAAAATTATTAAACCTCTATTAAAAAAGAAAATTATTAAAAACAATTTAATCGTCATACCAACACACAACAAGAGCTTTCGCTAGGTCAGTTTTAGATAGAATTAGAAAAAAAGTTGATAGAATAGAAAAAGATGGTCGTACCTATTTGTCAACCCACAAAAAATAATTATTATTCAGAACAATTTAATCTTCATACCAACTCACAACAAGAACTTTCGCTAGATTAGTTTTGGATAGAATTAGAAAAAAAGTTGATAGACTAGAAAAAAGATGATCGTACCTATTTGCCAACCCACAAAAAATTATCCTTATTCAGAACAATTTAATCTTCATACCAACACACAACAAGAGCTTTCGCTAGGTCCGTTTTAGATAGAATTAGAAAAAAAGTTGAAAGAATAGAAAAAAGATGATCGTAGCTATTTGTCAGCCCACAAAAAATGATACCTATTCAGAACAATTTAATCCTCATACCAACACATAACAAGAACTTTCGCTAGATCAGTTTTGGATAGAATTAGAAAAAACGTTGATAGAATAGATAAAAAATTATCGTACCTATTTGCCAACCCACAAAAAAGATACTTATTCAGAACAATTTAATCTTCATACCAACACATAACAAGAACTTTCGCTAGATCAGTTTTGGATAGAATTAGAAAAAAAAGTTGATAGAATAGAAAAAAGATGATCGTACCTATTTGTCAACCCACAAAAAATGATACTTATTCAGAACTATTCAATCTTCATATCAACACACTATTGTTTAGATCGGTTTTGAATAAATAGATTTTTTTTAAAGTTACACAATCAACACGAATAAAGTAGCATAACAAGATAACCTCCACCAGATCGTATTTATATGAAAACCCACATACACGATACTTATTGAAGGCAATTGCATCTTCATACCAAAACGCAACTAGAACTTTGCCTACATCAGTAGTGGATAAATAGAGTTTTAACAAAAGTTCTGGTCAGCAAGAATAAAGCAGCATTACAAGATAACCTCCAGAAAATCAAAAAGAAAATCATAAAATAAAAGAGATACTTATTCAAAGCAACTGAATAATCATACCAACTATAATTATAGTGTTCACTAGATCAGGTTTGGATAAACTTTTTTTTTATTGTTTTAATTTAATTTAAATAAGTCATAAAATTAATTATTTATAATATAAATATTCAGTTAATTCATAGCATTTTAATCTTCATACTGAAACACTACTAAAGTTTGCCTATATCAGTAGTGGATAAATAGTTTTATCAAAAGTTATAGTCAACAAGAATAAATCAGCATTACAAGATAACCTCCAGCAGATCGGACCTATGTGCCAACACATAAAATAGATGTTTATTAAAAGCAATTGAATCTTCGTAGCAACACATAATGATAGTATTGACTAGATCAATCCGGATAACCATTAAAACCAGATTGTGAATAAAATTATCTTTTCCAAACTGTAAAGACAGTCTCTAGGCATGAGGATAGGCTTTTTTTTAGTCTGTAAATATGCTATAAACGGTATATTTGGGCAATTGGTATGAATATAGATGTGCTTTGTGCGAATGAGTAAGTGAATGAATAAGTAAGATTGGCAGAATATCAAATAATCTATTCCCCACTATTGTAATTATAGCTACATCAAAATTAATAAAAAATTATAATAGTGTTTTATTTTATTAAACATTCTTGAACCGTCTGTCAGAGCCAGTTTGTACGCCTGTAAATAAGTTAATACATTATCACTAAAAATAAACAAAGAAAAAACTGTGTTAAAAATTAATATTTCACAACAAAATAAACAAAATTTCCGCTGTTGTTCTCTTATTTTTAACTATCTCTAACCAGTAAAGGTAATATCAACCCTTGGGTGCCGGTGCTTAAAAAAAATAAAAATAAAAAATAATGAATTTTGTTTATCATGTTTTTTGTTAGAAAAATATTAGACAAACATCACAAACGCCAAATTTTCAATGTTGACACGACTTTTTGTTGAGAAAATTCTGTTGCGGTCGACCCTCGATGACTTGCAGTTTAAGCATTATATTTAAAGTGCATTGATTGGTAAGAAAGAGAAAAAAAAAGAAGACGATGATTATGAAAGAGGTTCATCGATAATCTCAAGCATAAAAAGCTTTTCACTTAACCTGCCCATCAATCCTCAAATCTCAACATTCTCTCAACAAGCCACATGGTCAGCCATAATAGCCGGGTTGCAGGTTTTCTAAAACTTTTGTGCCATGAAACGAACAAAGGCATACTAAAGTATGTCTTTTGTCGCACACACATCTCTCTCTCTCTCTCTCTCTCTCTCTCTCTCTCCCTTTTTTGTTTTTAATTTACTTTCCACCTTTTTTTCATTGTCACTTTCGGTACGCTCCGTTTTTGTTTCTGTCTTTTTGTTTGCATCTATCTTAGGTTTCCTTTTTGAGCGTTGATTACTGAATATTACAGTTTACATTGTTGTACACATATTTTTTTCTCATCGTTTTGATGTTACACATTAGTGGTATATTTAGGATTTAAGATTGAACTTAACTTATTTGGACGTAACATATGTTCTTTTATTTTTAATTATTTCAATGATTTGATATTTTACAACCTTTTATAAAATAACAATACTGTTTCAAATAAGACACTGATCGTTGGGAGCTAACTTCAATTTCTATTTGCATAGTTTACTATTGATCTTGGTCTAACAAATTTAAACATGAAATGTCTGATCTTATTCTATTATATTAATCAATAATATTGAGATTTTGAAGGTTATTAACATTTTAGACAGAATACGTATCTTAGTTCTATGTGATAATCCAAACTGTCCTTTGGATATTTAATGAGCACTGACTTAACTAACAGAAAATGGGTAAAATGTTAGAAGACTTATGATTAAACTTTTAATACTGTAAGATACTCCATTTTTTAAACAAGATTAGTCGCCAACAAGATTGAAAGCAAACTTGATATGTTCTGAAATTTCAACGAAAATAAGACCACAGTTTCTGGTAAGATTCGTGGGAAGTTGTTTTCAGCGAGTATACAAATCCTATTGTTTTAATTAAATATTTATTATAGTAATTTTTTTTAACGGATGAAAATAAATAAAACCATTTTGATATATGACAGTTTAGTGTTCAATTCATTTTTTAAAGGAGCATCGGTGGTGGTGAAAGCGTTGACATGGCGTTCATCACTGTAAGGTATAGGTCTTGGGTAATTAACAACCAAATGGGCTTGTTTTCAAAAACATCGATACTCGATATGACCTCTGCTGTTGGGAACCCTCATTTGTTTTTTTCTATGTCAAATCGTGAACAAAAATTAAACTACTATATTTAACTCCGTAGATTAAACAGTATCTTTAAAAATCAACTTTATTGTTGTTTTGTGTAATGGAAGGTGAGCTGTGTACACCTGGTATTCTCTAGAGGTCAAAAACTGAGGAACACAGAAAAAGCAGTCGGTGAGGTAACTGCACAGTGTCAGATTAGGAGGTGAAGGGAAGGATGCCTTTGAGCATGAATAGCGGGACCGGGTGCCAAATACGTCAAAATAAAGGACCCAAAACAGTCCTAACCCATCTCCGCCTAATAAGGCTAAAAATGAGGTAAACACTATATTTGCCGTCCATAGTCAAAACTTTTAATATACTCTTATAGGTTCCCAACGTTTGGGATGGATAGAAAAAAGGACTATAAAAATTTTTACAAAATTTTCAATACCACTCACTCATTGTAGGGACTCGCGAGTTTATGTGGTTTTTCGAGGATCTTATCAGTGGCTCTGGAAGATCGGAACTGCAGCAGAGATTGAGGACGAGTCCAAGTAATGAAAGTGCAGAGGCGACTCAGCACTGACCCACCAAAATCCACCAAAATGGAAAATTGAAAGCACATTCGAGAATATGGTACGGTAAGGTAAAAATGATACTAGGAAGCGGGGTTTGTGCTCCCCAGGCACTGCAGCCTTCTGGCTTATTGTACCTTCCTAGTTCTTTAGTTCAGTGCAATAGAATCAATGCTTCTCCTTAAAGGTATCAGGTCATTGTCTGTCGCTGCTACACTTGATTCCCTAAGTTTTTGTCGGTACGTTAGGTTAAATCTCCATTGAGCTGTTGCTTCGCATTCGAAGATGAAATGGGTGGCTGTTTCCTCCTCCTCATTACATAATC